GATCATTGTTTAACTTTACTGAGCGGAGTTACAATAGGACACAGAGGACATCCCCTTCTAATTAGGTGTGTGTGTGTGTGTGTGTGTGTGTGTGTGTGTGTGTGTGTGTGTGTGTGTGTGTGTGTGTGTGTGTGTGTGTGTGTGTGTTAGCATTGTGTTTATTATCAAATAAAGTGAGAAAACTGGAACACTGTATTATGAGGTGATTATCATAAAGATGTTTTCCCAGCAGACTTCATTGGAGACGGACACATTAAGAGACAAACAGCAAAAATGTAATGATAAGAATTCTTCCTCTTCTGAACCTCTGGGTGTGTTCTGTCTCTGTCCCAGTTTAATGACCCCCTGCTGTCTGCTCCACTTTAACTCCTCTGCATCTCACAGCACACTCTCTCCGTTGACCAGCAGCCTGACTTTAAAAACTGGGTCTGAATTACTAAGGACGCTCTGAAACTGTTCCAGTCAGAGCTGATCACGGAACCAAAGAGGGTGAAGCGAGTCAGCCATCATTTCAGCAGCAGGGGGCGCTATAAGCACTGCAATGATAACACCATGAAAAAATATATATATATAAAATGTCATTAAACGGCGCAGTTGAACTTGATGTCAGATCTACTACAATAGGACACACACATAAAACTGCACCATGGCGGAATAAATAAGAAGATAAACTATATTTATGTTAAAGAAATCATTTGACATTCTGGGATAAACGCTCACTTGCTTGTCCAGATTTAGAGAATAACGTTACCCTCATACGTCTGTGCATTCAATATGAAGCTACAAAACCAGGAGCCAGTTTGACATAAAAGTAGTTGTGGATTAAGACCAAAAGCAGAGAAACATCACTCTTACAGACTGGAAACAGGAGGAAATAGCTTCTGACTGTCCAAAGTTAATAAAATCCGCCTATAAGGACCTCTTAAGCGCACGTAATATCACTTAATCTCATGTTTGGTTTGTGAAAACATGACAAATACAAACTTCTTTCTGTGGTTGTTCGCTGGATCATTTCTTGGCTGGAAGCAGTGAATCAGATCAAGTGTCAACTGAGAAATAAACGCTCTCAAGTTAATGATACAAACACCTCTTTGTATCATCCTTATCATTGTTAGTGATCAGACCATTTCCTGCTTACATGGATAGTTGACTGTAGCCATTAAGAGGCTGAGTATTAAGCTGCAGTGATGATCTGAGTTAAGTAAGGGTCGGTTTATACTCTCAGGGGTCAATCTGACACACTCACTCTTTCCTCTCCCAGATGGTGGATGATGGATGAGCCAAAGTCACTCTCACTCAGCAAACAGACATTCAGATGTCACACATGGATGAACTGCTTAGCACTTAATGTTCCTCTTGTTACTGTGACAACTTGAATATATTTCTGTAAAATAGTTTGGACTACTTCTCTTGTGCAGAATTTACAGTACATGCATGTATTCTATTGTGGTGCGTTCAAGTGCAACTTCTAATGTTTGACAAATCGGTAATTGTCATTGTAGTACATCCGGAGAAGTAGAAGCAGTGGTTGTCCTACCTGCATTAGTGCTGGGTGCAGCGCTGAGGCGTGGGGTCGGAGTGAGTCCTGTAGGCTGGGAGCTCAGTCCTGTGGCCTGGAGGAGGGACCCAGACAGAGACCCTGCTGAATCAAAGACACCAACACCCATTAGATCAAACTAAATGTTGTGTTATACCTGATGTAACATCGGTAGCCCTGTGCCTAGCAAAGAAAGAAGGTAAAATAAATCCAGGATTTCTCTTATTTTCACTTTGCTGATTGAAACAGCATGGTCATTAACCCCTCACCTTCTGAGCAGGGACACACACTCCTGCAGGTCACATTGGGAACAACATAACATACAGCATTATGGAATTGATTTGCCTTTGTCTCTAACTCTTTAAATCAGCCGTATCTATGTATGCTCTTTGTTGCAAGAATATAGGTATTGTTCTGTGTTAAGAGTGAGTGAGGTATAGTGCAGCTCAGGTTTTGTGTTAACCAAATCATTTTACAATCAGAAACGGTTGAAGTTAAGCAGAAGCAAAAGGGTTGATCTTGTTTCTCACATTTGGCAGTAGCAGTCACTCTTTATTATAATAATAATATTATTGTCTCATAAGCTGATTGTATAAAACAACTAATACAAATCAACAGTAGAGTTGGCAGTGTACCTGCTGCCTGTTGACCTGTCTCTCTTGCCTCGAGCTGTCTCATTCTCCGGAGGTGAGACCTGCCATTGTAGTGCAGCTGGGCCTGAGCAGAGGTCAGCTGCAGGTTGCACACCTCACACAGCGAGAAGGTCCCGCCCTGACCTAGGAGAAGAAACAACAATAATAAGTTGGATTAAAGGAGCAAAGTAACAAGTATGATTCAGACTTTGGGAGGAAACCACAAAGGCAAGTCAGACTGTAGCAGAAAACAAGGTTGAGTCACAGACTATAGGATAAACATACTGTAGAGAACTAGACTGTAAGAGAAAACAACTAGGATAACTCAGACTGTAGGAAAACATTACACTTATAAGTTAGACAGAAGGAGAAAAATACAAGGATTCATTGGAATGACATGGATGAAGGTGGATGTCAATTACCTGGAGATGAAGTCTGCTGGACGGAGAGACTGATGGTTGTAGATGTTGGAGGGTCCATCAGCTCTTGACACATCCCTCCAAAAGCAAATATCTGCCTCCTCTCAAGTAGATGAGAGGAGCTGAGAGTAGTCTTCATCCCTGAGGAAGAAGAGAAAGAGAAATATATATTACCATCACTGATGTACCCTCAGGTTTTATTTATAGCTGATAAAAAAAACAGGTTTGTAAGGCTATAGGAAATCTGAGGTTATTGTGATTCCTTTGTTGACACGACAATGTGTACCATTGACCGCTAAAGAGCTTCCTGAGGAAACAATGGAGCCCTTCAGATGCAGTTCTATGGACTAACCACTTCCCTACATGACCCACTGACACACTTTATAACCCTTACCCCTTGTTGAAATGTTGAACCATTAAGTCAACATTAGTGACTTTGACACCCAGCCAACCCAGCTGGGTGATCATGCAAGATTTGGCAATGAGATGGAATGTTTTCAAAGCATCCAAATCAAACAGACAGTAAAATTGAACAACATTAGACTATGCAGTTCAGTTGGCTGTGTCTTGAATTAATCCAATAAGTGGTATTGAAAGGCTGAAAAACGTATTTTCAATTAAAGATCCCTTAGCCAATTACATATCTTTCCGATTTCACAAGAGAACTAGTCACCAATGAGCAGGAGCGAGGCCTGAATGGCAGCGGATGAGTGTGAAGCCTCGACGCTCACAGGGAGTGATGAAGTAAAGTAATGAGTAAGAGGAGAGAGGAAGGATGACATATGTGTGTGTGTGTGTGTGTGTGTGTGTGTGTGTGTGTGTGTGTGTGTGTGTGTGTGTGTGTGTGTGTGTGTGTGTGTGTGTGTGTGTGTGTGTGTGTGTGTGTGTAGGTCGGCCCATGACT